TATCAAGGTCTGTAGTTATAGCCCTCTGGGTCTGTTGGTCCAGGTCTATCAAGGTCAGTAGGTCTAGCCCTCTAAGTCTGTTGGTCCAGGTCTATTGAGGTCTGTAAATCAATGCCCATTAGGAGTTTGTGTAAAAATATAATTTGATTTCCTGTTTTGACAGGATTATTAAAGTCCAAGCAACTCATTGGTGGACTAGGAGGCATTGGCGGGTTGTTCTTACTCTTCACAATACTCCTCTTGGTCATAGTCTATCGTAACCGCAGGCGTGGCCAAAACAACAAACAAACCAGCATCGCTCTGGATGTTACTGTCAACTCGTATGAGCAGGTAAACGTGGACAGCGACGAGAAGAATGAAAGTGAAATCTAGATTGACAGCATGAGAAAGRAGGGGAGAAAACTGTTCTATACCTTAAACACAAAATAGGGCTCTCCTATCCTTGTCATGTGTCAATTGTCTAGTCTTTTTTCCTTGTGTACCCTTTAGAGGGGCTATCCCCTTCTCCCTCTCCTCTCCTACAAATCTATAAACACTGATATAACATTAAGCTTTGATTCAGAAATAATGGGAATAATCCATAGCATAATTTTGCAGACAATTTTAGTGTGTTAGGCTTTGTAGAGTGTTACCAAAGGTTTTCTATATGAGATAAAACTAATGGTAACTTTCTAAAAATGTACGATGATGATATTTGCATATGATTTTTTCTGCTACAGTTTTTGATTTTACATTAAATTTCTTAGATAGTCTTAGGTTGTAGATAAAATATTATTATAATAATATGTTTGTGAAAAGTAGCTTTTTTACCCTTAATATTTTAATTATAAAGGAAAATAAAGAGTGATAAGGTAAAGYCATATTTATTGTTCCATCTTTGAGTTTGTTTTCAAAGGAAACCAGTTATTTTGTTTACAATTTGAAATTTTAGTAACTTTTCAGTGAAAAAACAAGTTGTAAAAGACGTTTCACTGTCTTCTCGACAACATCATCAGGTYGTATGAAAAMTGTTGTCAAGATGACAGCAAAACTTTGTCTTTTACAACTAGTTTTCTTACTGAATTGTATACCTAAACGTAACTTTTTGCAGTAAGAAACAAGATGATAAACAATTTTCACA